AAAACAGAAAACAGAAAGCTTTACAGAAAATTGCCTTAATTATAACTATTACAACCATCATGACAATTCGCACCTTCGACGCCGCTGCTCTAAAGAGGTCAGCAGAAGTGCAGTTAAACCAAGCTTTCAAATTGTTTAATCAGGAGATGTGTCTTCTTCCGCGACTCCTTCTACCCTGTATTCTTTCTTGCATTATTAATTGCAATAAGTTATAACGCTCGCCCCTCATATTATGTCCCAGATATTGCAGTTTTCTGACTTTAGCTGTATTTAAGACCGCTTTATCTTTACCCATTCTTCTTAACACCTTGACATTCAGGGCCTTTTGATAAAATTTTTTAGCTTAGAACAAATGAATCCATGCACATGTATAGTTGGTTGCCTATTGATCCTACAAAATTTCATAAACTCCAGTTTACCCACATTAATTTTTAAAAACCAATTTTTTCAATGTTTCCAATATAGCCATATGATTAATTCAGATTACAGACTGCAACATTGATTGTTGATACTGTTACATTATTATAATTTTAATTTTTTCAATTTTAAATAATGCTGACATCTGTCATTTTTAGACAACTACCGTAAGCTACACTGACTGCTCTGACACAACATCCGTTCTAACATGTCAACAATGTCATTTTGATCAGTTGTTATCAACAGGTCCTCGAAGACACTTCGTCTCAGGACCATTTTACCTATGTAGGGTCATACGTCGCCATGTTACCAATTCCAACGGTAACTTAAACATCATAATTTGTAACCACATAATATAATGTAAAGCAACTGTAAATTTATATCATTTAAAGGGTTTTGACTCATATATTTTGGTGGCTCATAGCATGTATACCTCGTAAGTATTAACAAAAATGTCCTTTAACCTTAGTCAACATTTTAATTTCAACGTTCTTTTTAATTAAAGTGGTTATTCACTTTCAGGTTTACACTGATGATGGATTTAACAATCCGAAAACGTTTTGTAATATATTTGTGATAGCCCGTTTGGGCATTTTATTATATACCTTTTATAAAGGATTTAAAATAATTTTTTTCTCGATATTCGTGACTATCTACCCAACTTATTCTTAATATCCTTCTGTAGGCCCATAACTCGAAGGCTTCCAATTTGTCCGAAACAGCTTTCTTTAAAGTCCAAGCCTCCAACTCATAAAATAATACGGAGAACACGTAGCATATAATAGTTGCTGTAAGTTAGTAAGCTGTAATAGTTTTGATATTATAAAAAAATATCTTCTGAAACATTACTTTAACTGCTCAGAAGAATATATGACACCTTGCAGAACATCCACTGAACTGCTTACCGTATCTTTTTCTATTTAATATGTGTTCTTGTTTGTGTATATTTAAGTTACGTTTAATTCTTTTTTCATATACTATTAATTGTGATTTGAGAACTATTTCGGAAGTGGAAATCTAAATGTCAAAGATAAACTTATTTTAAACTTAAATGGTCTCCCAATAACAGTAGTAATTGTATAAAAAACTAACTGGCCAACAAAGATTCTAAGCTTACAAGTTAAGGAACACCTAGCCTTATTTTATGTTTATTCTCTTGGGTTGTATGAAAATAAAAACATTTAAAAAATAAAAATACAAAACGTGCAGTAAAGTTTAATATATACAAGACCTTAATATGACCGGTTTTGATACATGGGGCTGAAACGTGGACCTTATCTCAAAATGATGGAAGACTTCTTGGTATTTTTAAGAAAAAAATTCTTAGAAAGATTTTTGGGACCGTAAATGAAAATGGACTATGGCGTCAGTAATATTATTTCATTGTGTTTAATACATTTATTTAAACATACTTTTTAACAAACTATGCAAGAATCCCCAATCTCCAAAACCCCTATTTTAACTTCTAACCACCATGTTGACAAGTAGTGACAACTGGCGAGTCTCTCTACATTGTGCCTAGAGCCCCGTGACCGTAATCATAACCTACTGATATGACATCTTTCCCTTTACATTTGATAATCTTTAAAATGCACTGGAGCCCTTTTGAGTCTAGCGCTAGTTCTACTTTCAGCATTCATTTGGGAGGTTGAAGGTTCCTCTACTCCACAACTCTGATTCCCAGATGAGGAGTTTAATGATCTATCATTATGTGCAAAATCAGTATTCTTCCTAATTTCCGCTTTAACTAGGGAAGGCCTTAAGTGATAGCTGTTTCGCCTAATCACTTCCCCTTTTTCTTTCTACACTAAATAAGATCTGCCTCATCTACTTTTTCCAGAACTTTACCTGGTCTCCATTCTCTACCCGCTGTGACACCTACATTCTCTCCTGGCACTATTTCTTTTCTTACCTTGGTATTTCTATCATAATAATTTTTATATTCGTTTCTTTTTGCCTCTAGTTTCTCCCACTCATCCTTTAGATTTATGTCTTTGTGCTTTTTATTTGATGGTAGCTTTGATCTAAGAACCCTGTTAGTTACTAATTGGGCCGGTGTTTTATCTGTTCCATTTATTGGAGTATTGCGATACTCCAGGAGTGTCATATCTAAGTCGTCACACTTTCTAAGCATATTTTTTGCAATTTGAACGGCTCGTTCTGCCTGCCCATTAGACCGTGGATAGCGGGGACTGGACGTTACAAACCGAAAATCCCAGTCTTTAGCAAATTGCTGACAATGCCACGAATTATAAGGCATTGCATTATCTGATATGACTTCGTAAGGTATTCCGTGTGTTGAAAAAATTTTCTTTAACTCCTTGATGACCACTTGAGAAGGTTTTGAATTAATTTTCACTATATCGAGCCATTTAGAAAAATAATCGATCAGAACTAGATATGACTGTCCACCATAATCTAATATATCACTCGCTACCTTTTCAAAATGTGCTTGAGGCAACTCTCTAAGTAATAGTGGTTCTTTAGCATTGTGACTTTTAAATATCTCACACTTGCTACAATTTCTTACCCAGTCTTCTATACTTTTGTTCATTTGTGGCCAATGTAATATCTGTCTTGCTCTCTGTTGGGTTTTCTGAATGCCAAGATGACTAGAATGCAATAATCTTAGCATGCTCTCTCTCAATATTTTTGGGACTACAACTCTGTCTTTGTAAAATATTAGTCCGTCAAGTAAATATAGTTCATTTCTTATATAATAATAATACCTAATTGAATCGCTTACTCTTGACAGGGTTTTGGGCCACCCTTGTATACAATATTTCTTTACTAGTTTCAGATCCTCATCAGCATCCACTTTAGTCATAAATTGCTCTCTCTTCTCATCAGTCATGTCAATAGTATGAACTATTTCTGTAATAAATTTATCATCATCCACTTCATCTTTTATAAAATTCCTCGATAATAAATCTGCCACATGCATAAACTTGCCTGGCTTAAATTTTACCTCTATGTCATATTTAGATAATCTTACCCTAATCCTTTGTAATCTCGGCGACATTATGTCCGCAATGCCTTTATGCATTAATGCCTCCAAAGGCTTATGGTCAGAATCAATTTGCACTTTTCTTCCATAGATAAAATTGTGAAATTTATTGCATGCATATAGGATTGCCAAGAACTCCTTTTCAATTTGACTCATATTTGACTCTGCTGTCGTTAGTGCCCTAGATACAAATACTACTGGTCTGTTATTCTGTAAGAGACAGCACCCCAAGCCATTACTACTACTGTCAGTCTGTATCACAGTTGGTAACTTCTCATTGAAATTGGCAAGCACACTACTTGACATAATTATTTCTTTTTTTTTTATTTATTGCATCAGAATGTCTATCTGTCCATACCCATGCATTCCTTTTGTTTAAGAGTTCTATTAAGGGCGTCGAAATCTCTGACAAGTTTGGAATGAATGCCCTTAATAATTTACCAATTGTGCCTAGAGCTCCGTGACCGTAATCATAACCTACTGATATGACAGCGTCGAAGATACAACTTTGAATTATATCAGTTATACACAGATTCAGATATTGTGAAATTCGTTAAAATGCAGAGACTTAGATGGGCTGGACACATTGCTAGGATGTCAGATCACGAATACACGAAGAGATTAACATTTTCAAAACCAGAGGGCACAAGAAGCAAAGGACGACCACGAATGAGATGGATTGATGACGTGGAAGAAGATCTACAGATTTTAAGAATCAGAAGATGGAGGGAAGTTGCCAGGAATCGACATGAGTGGCGACTTCTTTGTGAGCAGGCCAAGATCCGCAACGGATTGTAGAGCCACTTATGATGATGATGTATGAAAGTAAGGAATTTCGGAGAGAAACTACAACCACTTGAAATGTGACTAAACAGAAACTATAATTACAGTAAAATAAATCGCAGCTCTACCTTCAGTCTTGTCTTCTACTGCGTAGTTGTGTTTCCGCCGGTGTTTTTTAAATGAAAATTTATGATAAATCGATTTAAAGAACCTCCAATGGAGTTATTTAATTTCAGTTTTAATCCTTTTTGTGTTTTTCTGACCCCAGAATTAAATTAACTACTGATTGAGCTGTCAGTCTATTTTTGACGGCGTTTTTACCACTTTTTATATTTAAGAAAAGTTTATTTAAAAATATTAATAATCAAGCTGATACGAGAGGACAATATACAGTATGGTATGTCTATTAAAATTATCACAAAATGTTATTCATTTATACAAAAACTAATATGGAGATTCATAAGAAACCAACGAAAAAAAATGGCAGAATTGAAGGAATACAATAACATACCCGCAAACGAATGGGAAAAATACCTGACGGAACTGTTTAACAGAAAAGAAAATAATAATCAACACAATAACGTACCTGAATTAAGACACGAAATAGAAATTAGTTTTCAGGAAGTAAAGATAGCCATAAATTGACTCAAAAGTAGAAAGTCACCAGGACCAGACTTCTAAAATACGGAGAACGTATAACCTTAGAAAGAAACAGCATAATGAGACCAATGTTCAAGAAAGGAGATAAAGAAGACCCCAACAATTATCTTCTTCTTCTTCAGATGCAAATCCACTAATGGATGTTAGCGATCACATTTTTCATTAATTCTCTATTTCTTGCAATATGTATCAGAGATTTTATGTCGTTAATCCCTGTCCATTGCCTTATGTTTCGGAGCCAGGACATTTTCTTGCGTCCAATTCCTCTCTTGCCTTAAATTTGTAACGTTTAAAACGTTACATTTTTATTCTTATTAATTTCAAAGTACTTTCCATTATTTTCTGCTCATTTCTATGTTTTGCACTATTTCATTTCAATGTTTTCCTATTACAAATAAATTCACTGATTAATTTCTTAAGTCTCCTCGTAGTTATACCTTCGCTTACTTTATCATACAAGAAACAGAAACCCCACCACTAAATAATTTACTTCTATGAATCCGATCCGATTTAATTCCTTTTTAAAATAAACCAGCAAACGACAAGGTACTCAGAAATAAATCTTCGTGGTCAGAAACTTCCAACGGTCTGGGTAAGTTGTTACTTTGTTCTTTTTACAACAACATATTTTCATAGATTAATCAAAAACATTAGCACTGTTAGTTTTCCGTACAATTTTGTGTACACTAGTACTTAAAAACTGCTTACAATTTTTATTTTCTTTTTACCTTTGCTATAATAATAATAATCAAATATAAATCACTGGTATTAATCGCACAACTTTGTCTTTTTCGTTTTTCATTTAAAAATTTATCTATTAATTGCAATTATTAATTTGTGAGTTTTGTCCAACAACAGAAGAATTCTGGCAAGCGGAAAGTTCTTCTCTCTAAGAACTGTATACCGATCCAGAACTCTCTCACAAATTAATAATTGCAATTATTAGATAAATTATGAAATGAAAAACGAAAAAGACAAAGTTGTGCGATTAATACCAGTGATTTATATTGAATTATTATTATTACAGCAAAGGTAAAAAAAAGTTGTACGGAAAACTAACATTGCTAATGTTTTTGATTAATCTATTAAAATATGTTGTTGTAAAAAGAACAAATTATTAACTTATCTAGACCGTTGGATGTTTCTAACCACGAAGATTTATTTATGAGTACCTTGTAGTTTGCTGGTTTATTTTAAAAAGGAATTAAATCGGATCGGATTGATAGAAGTAAATTATTTAGTGGTGGGGTTTCTGTTTCTTGTATGATAAAGTAAGCGAAGTTATAACTACGAGGGGACTTCAGAAATTAATCAGTGAATTTATTTGTAATAGCAAAATATTGAAATGAAATATAGGAATAAAAACAAAGGAAAAAGAAGTTATTATCAACGAAAATCAAATAGTATGAGCAGAAAATAATGGAAAGTACTTTGAAATTAATAAGAACAAAAATGGAAAGTTTTAAACGTTACAAATTTTACCCTCGATTATAAGTTGGAGGAACTGGTATTGTCCATTTCGAATGATGTGACCTAGATACGCCGTTTTCCTTTTCTTGATGGTTTCGAAAAGTTGGCGTTCTTGGATTATTCTTTTAAGGACATCTATATTTGTGATTTTCGCTGTCCATGGTATTTTTAGGATACGGCGATAGAGCCACATTTCGAAAGCTTCTAATTTGTTTATATCCCTCGTTTTGAGTGTCCAGCCCCCTACGCCATATAGCAGCACACTTGGTAACTGACCACACGCAGCACTTGGTAAACCTGAAGATCGAACTTTGAACAAGTATAGAGATATAAATCAATTAGAATTATAGAGGTATAAATCTACTGAACACCGCACTTAAGCTTACCACAAAAGTCCTAACTAACAAAATCAATAAACTAACAACTTTATCAGACGAAGAACATAAATTCAGATCCGGAAGATACTGCGTAGATGAGTGTTTGCACTAAGACAAATCACAGCAAAGGCCATCGAGTACAATAAAGCAGCATATCTATGTTTTATAGATCTGACAAAGGCTTTAATCGCATCCAAGTCGAAGACGTTTTACACCTACTGTAAGAAAGAAACATACAAATCAATATTATACAAACCATCGAAAATATCTACTTCCATAATCGGATACAGGCAAAGATAAATAGAAAACTAACACAGTGTATACTAGTACAAAGCCAACTCAGACAGGATGACTCGTTAAGCACACTTCTCTTTAATATAATAATGAACAAAATAATACAAGCAGTACGTAAAGGTCATGGTTACAGAATGGGAAACAAAAAATCCAAATGTTATGTCATGCAGACAATCTCACAAAAAATCCCTGAGACAAAAGACTAGCTCCAAAGATTAACACACATCTTCAATACAACAGTCAAGAAATATGAAAAGCCAAATGTATGATAACATCTAAATAATCTCTTCCCATCAATTGCAATTGATGGGAAAATAATAAATCAGGAAGCAAGGTTTAGATATCTGGGAATAGATATAACTAGTTACGGAGATGTTAAAGAAGAAGTACGACAACAAAGCTTAAAAGGCAAGACCTGATACATCTAAAACGAGACGAATACTAGAAACAACAAAAATGAAAATACTTCGACGAATATCAGGTAAAAGTCCCTATGTTGGATAGGGAGAGAAGTGAAAAAGTGAAAAAAGAAGTGAAGAAAGTCACCAAATGGACGAAGAATTATTGGCAGACCAAAAAAAGATGATGCAAATAATTTTGGAAGGCTAATATCGCGAAGATGAAACAGGCTTTAAAGGCTACATACAAGAAGGAACAAAAAGAAGAAGAAGCCTTTAATACCATGTTAAATCTTATATTTTTAGATTTTTTTTATTTAGATTTTAACGAGATTAAAAACCATAAAGTACAACAATAACACAAAGTCGAATAACGATAACGAAGAAGAAGAAGAAGAAGAATTTGGATGTAATTTTTGCGTACATTACGAAAATGCATTATTTAAATAAGTAAATTGTTAAATAAACCATCTTATTTATTTAAACAATTATTGCTCGATTTCGTGTACTTTTCTGACTTATCTGACGCTTTGTTTGTTCTTTGCGATTGTGATTTCTTACAAATAATAAGCTGCAGATTCACCGCCTAGATCTCTTAACTGGGAGGATCAGGTACTTTTTGATCCAGGTTTGCTTCATCTATCTTTTGATGATCCAAGGCCAAACTGTAAGGCAGTATTTTCGCCTGTACCCTAGACAGGAGCCCTTAAAGTAAGCTATCATCCAGGTCAGATGAACCCTGTTTTTTATAGAGCTCTTACTCCTCTATTCCTACTCCTTCCTCATCTCTTGATGACTAGACCCAAGACTTGAAAGTGGCATAACGGAATTTTTACTTTTTATTTCTATTTTATTAATAAAGCAAAACAATTAATACTTACCTTATCTGAACTACTAAAATCATAAGTTCCTGTAAATAGCTGAATTGGTAATGAAATTTGGCTAATATTATAATCGGGTGGTTTTAAAGAACCATATTTCTCCAAGTTAATTTGGTCATCTCTATAATCGAACTTTTGGAATCTAGTTGTCTCGATTAACTGACCAAAGTGCGCAAGAATCCTCATTGATATTGGAGATGGCATTACACTAAAGAACAAAGGCACCATGTCCTAAAACATCAAAGTATAAAATGCCATTTTTTTTATTATTAAGAGAGACATAAATACATAATATTCTTACGTTACAAGTTCAAAGGTTAAGTGAAGCACAACGTACTTTATTGAATTCAAAGCTCACTTAATTACAAATATCACCATGACTAACTACATTTATAATTATTGCTTATAAAAAAATTTGCACCGAGTAGTAAAATGTAAAAGTAAAATGGAAAATACTATTCTAATGTAAAGCCGCCTAGGCAGGCTTATATATTGAAAACTCTTCTCAAAACAACTACCGGACGATGGTCGAATCCAAGAGAAAATCCGAAATTCGCATTGGACGACGTTGAGTTCACGACGCGACGTTGAGAAAGGCTTCTCGAGTTTCTCTAAAGCACAGTGCTACCCTGTATCAGGGGTCTGTGACTCTCAACAATATGATTAAAAACTAATTTATTCAATTTTTCTGCGGTTTATTTTTTAAGCCGGTAGGTATCAGTTGGTAAATTAAACAAAACTAACTTGAAAAAGTTTTGAATGTAGAGTACGAATTCAGGGGGAACTGTCTAAACCTTTTAAAACAAATAGCGGGCTGCGCCAGGGAGACCCCCTCTCCTGTATACTGTTCAATCTGGCTCTAGAAAAAGTAATACGTATGTCACAAATCACAACCACTGGTTCAGTCTATAATAAATCAGTGCAAATCCTGGCGCATGCTGATAATATCAATATTGTTGGGAGAACGGAAAACGCTGTACGAGAGGTGTATGTAGCATTCAAAGAATCAGCTACAAAAATGGGTTTAATAATATACACCAACAAAATGAAGTATATTAAAATAAGCACGCAACCACAAATACTACGACCATTTGTTATAAATAACATCATCAAAGCAGTGAACGAATTCGTATATCTTGGAGCGCTCCTTAACACTGAAAATAATACTACCGCAGAGATAAACCGCAGAATTTACACGACCAACAGATGCTATTTTGGGCTCAATATCCTCCTTAAATCGACAATTATATTAAAAAATGCAAAAATAAAACTCTACGAACAAGTGGACAGGTTCGATGTAAATATCAGGATATTACAAGTTGTAAACAAAAATATAGCATTAAAAGAATAATATTTAATAATATGGCTAATTGAAAAAAGTACAATTACTAGTGAATCTACTTCTGAGTTTTCAACAGATTTCTCTAGTTCCAGTTCTTCTTCCAGTCTATCAGAATCGTCTTCATCAAGTGATTCAGATTTTTCAAGTTCCCAGAATTCCAGCAAACCCAAATCAGATGCTGACGAAGCTACCAAAAAAACCCCAGCAACTCAAACACAAGTTCGAAAAAGCACAGAAAACAAAACATCTACTAATAAAACTTCCCAGTCCAAAACTGCCGGAAAAAATAAAGTACCAACTCCTAAAAATAATAAACCTGCTGCTGCAAAGACTTATTCCACAGATGAGAATGATGAGATTAAGAAGCTACCTCCCAAACGAAAGAGTAATGTGAATAATAAGAGCAATTACTTCTAAGTGGTCAGTTTTTCCTCCGAAACCGGCAGCGAAAGGAGCTGGGAAAGTAGCTGCTGCAAAAGCTAAAACTGAACAGAAGTAAGAATCAGTCAGAGGAAAAGAGCCTCCAAAAATCCGTGCCCAAAAAGTTACTACCAAGAACAACACAGATGGTAATAAGAAGAAAAGTATTTTTTCATCTAAGAATAGTTCAGAGTAAGATTCTACAAAGAAAAAAAGCCCCAAGGAACACCAACCAAAGTAACACCAGAACCGAGGGCTAAAGCACGAACTGTGGAAAAGGTTAGAAATGAAAAGAAGGCGGATAAAGTTAAATCAGAGGAGATGTTGAATCTTTTACCTCTTTAGCTGCTTCTTCAGTGTCAGGCACAAGCAGCAGCTCAGAAAACAAAATGCAGGGCCGTGTTTGACGCTTCCAGTAAAAGTTCAACAGGGATCAGTCTCAGTGATATCTTACAAATGTATTAATAAATTGGAGGTCGTACAAAATGGCATATACAACAGATCTAGAGAAAATGTTAATAAAGGTGAAAGGTAAATAAAGATAGCTGAAGAAGATCAAGTCTACCAGAAGATATTATGGAGGCAGTCTATTATAGAAAGTTACCTAGCCAATAACTAGAGTGTAATTATTAGTAGCTGTCAATAAAACTGTAATTTTACTCTACGAATTCAACATTTTATTGTATTACCATCGTCGATCAAGAAGCATCGGACAGAGGGGCATTATAAAACAATTCGATCCTGATATTTACATCGAATCTGTCCAACAATAATACGTCCAGTCCTAACATACGGTTCAGAGACCTGGACTCTGAAAAAATAATGAAAACATGTTAGGATGTTTCGAAAGAAAAGTACTAAGGCGAATCTATAGAGCGGTGAATGACAATGGAGTGTGGAGAAGACGATACAATTTCGAAATTTATAGAATATACCAGGAACCTGATCTCGTAAAACATATTAAGATAGGTCGCCTGAGTTGGATAGGGCATGTAATGCGAATCTAACAAAATGACCCAGCTAGAAATGACGCTCCCTGATAGACTTATTGGACAGAGAAGAAGAGGAAGGTCCAGAACAAGGTTCCTTGATAACATCGATGAAGACATAAGAAATATGGGAATACGTACTTGGCGCAGAAAGGCGATGGATAGGAACGACTGGAGAGAAATCATGAGGAGGCTACGACCCACGTAGGGTTGTAAAGCCAAAATGATGATGATGATTATTTTATAAGTAACAAACAAATATATAAACACACTTACAGGTCTTTCTTCAGTAGGTGAGAGTCCACTCATATAGCCGTAAAAATAATAACATCCATATACTCCAGGATATTGCGCACAAAGCAATGATGAGATCAAACGTTTTGTGTACGTGTTACTCACGGCATAACATCCAATCTTCTTAGTAAAGTCCTGAAAATAATCATTGATAGTAAAACTATAAAAATATGTATAATAATATAATAGTCTAGCTAAAATGAGCTGGATTTAAAAGGAAATCTTAAGAAAATTTGGAGAGATTTTGGTCTACTCATGTTTTCTGATTTGATTTTTATTGGATAATTCTTCAAAAATATGAATGTTAAAGAAATCAGAAAAACATTTCTGGAAACCTAAATGGAAAATATCTCTGAATGGCAGAGATGACAGTGTATACGAAACTTAACGAAAATAATTTATCAAACTAATTAAATGTCTTTATTTACCCATATCCACTCATTCTTCGGTCCGATAAATTTGAAAAATCCTTGCGTGTGTTCCATATACGCAGCAGGGGCCAACGAAACCAAACCCTTCAAATTATTTTCTGCGTGAGTTTTCTTTTCTATAGCATAAACGTACGATGCCGTTGAGCCCATTGAATGACCCACAAATATAACTTTGCTCTTCGTCTGCTTCGTAATATAATCTGTCAGGGCAGGTAGATCGTATATCCCAATTTCGTGGAAACTGAAAAACAAAACGTCATTTATGTATGTATATATAAAAAACCTTTTTGAATGTACATGTGTGTGACCTATATTTTTTCTTAATAAAATTTACAGAAAATCTTGAAAATAAAATAAAATGATTCGATAGATTTTACGTGCCAATGGAAAAATAACGAATTATATCCTTTATACAAGACTGATAAAGTTAAATATTTCATTTATATGAAAATTAATGAAAATTAACGGAGAAGAAACAGATCACATAAAAATACTACGTGGAGTTAGACAGGGATGTATCCTATCGCCGTTAATATTTAATATGTACTCAGAGAAAATTTTTAACGAGGCTCTTTACGGAATAGACGAAGGCATCCTTCTAAATGGTGAAAGAGTAAACAATGTTAGATATGCCGACGACACCATGGTGATAGCAGATAGTTTAGAGGGACTTCAGAGGCTAATGGACAGAATAAACGAGTACAGTCAACAGTACGGACTAAACATTAATACCCACAAAACGAAACAAATGATTATCAGCAAGGAGAATATAAACGGGGCTCATCTATATATTAATGGGACGCAGATAGAGCGAGTAAAACAGTATTGTTACCTGGGAACTATTATTAACGAACAGTGGAGCAATTTACAGGAAATAAAGTGCCGCATAGGAAAGGCAAGAACGGTCTTTAACAAAATGAGCGCCATATTCAAAAGTCACAACATATCCCTTGATACAAAAATGAGACATTTGAGATGCTATGTTTTCTCTGTGTTGTTGTACGGGGCGGAGGCATGGACGCTTACAGACGCCACTATTAAAAAACTTGAAGCATTTGAGATGTGGCTTTATAGAAGAATGCTGATAATATCATGGACAGCAAGGATCACGAACAAGGAAGTTCTAGGAAAAATGAAGAAGGAACCAGATATTGTGTTTACGATCAAACGCATAAAATTGCAATATCTGGGACACGTTATGAGAAATCAGCACCGTTACTCCCTGCTACAGTCTATATTGCAAGGTAAAGTCAAAGGTAAGCGAGGACCCGGTAGAAGGAGAATATCATGGCTGCGGAATTTAAGAACATGGTTTAAGAAAACCTCAACGGAGCTGTTTCGAGCCGCAGCGATCAAGGTTATGATTGCCAATATGATTTCCAACATCCGAAACGGATAGGAGCCAGAAGAAGAAGAATATGGGTTTAAACCACAACTTACTGTAATTTAAATTACATCTCACTTTTAATTGTCGATATATATATAAACATCTTCATTGTTTTTAACTTCTTCTCTTCTATCGAAGGTTGGAAATCATCATGGCTATGCGGACTCTGTCGACTAGCGCTCTCAAAATTTCTGCACTATTGCATTCAAACTATTCCCTTAAATTCTTAAGCCAGGGTATTCTTTGTCTTCCCACATTTCGCTTTCCTCGGATTTTGCCCTGCATAATAAGTTGTAATAATGCGTATTTTTGCCCTCTCATCACATACCCTAAGTACTCAAGTTTTCGTCTTTTGATAGTTAATATTATTTTCACCTCATTTCCTATCCTTCTAGTTACTTCCACGTTTGACATTCTTTGAATCCATGATATTCGTAGGATTCTTCTGTAACACCAAAATTCAAAGGCGACCAACTTATTCAGATGGACTTGTTTTAGTGTACAGGCTTCCAAGTCATAAAGAAGAGTAGACAACACGTAACATCGAAGCATTCTCAGGAGTAGTTCTAACCTTATAACTATATGTTTTTAACTATAGATCATGAATTGTAATCTACTATCTTATTAGTAAAACTTTGTTTTTCCTATACTGTCAAGAATTTAATAACAATAATTCCCCAATCACAAGGATTAATGGTGTAACAAGTCAGATCTCTGGTACGTTATATCTTTTTCAATTTACGTTGATTTTATTAAAATCTTTCTGTACATGACTTGAATTTCTGTAATAATTCTAGTATTTTACTAATACCTTCATGTTAACCAACAAGATCAGTACAATTTTGTTTTGAATTGTCATCCTACCACTTGTCTATCATGGTTATGATATCAATAGAAATTCTTGGGAAGAAACATCCACCATTCCTAGGTAATAAATTCACTAATTGGGAAATATTTCGGAATATTATTAATAACAAATTGGATACAAAAATACCTCTGAAAATTAACAGCTATGTAGATGAAGCTGTTGAATAATTTGCTAAAATAATACAAGAGGCAACTTGGCAGTCAACACCAAGAAGACTGTTGGAAACCAAATAACAACAATTGCATAGCTTGATGAAATCAAAGAAAAAAAGTGCAGAAAAGCGAACATTAAGGAGAACATAGCAGGAAACATGCGCGCCTCAGGATGAAATTACATTGAACCAAGCTACCGCCCAATTAAGACTTTTTCTGAATAATTATAAGGATAATAACCAGTATTACCTGAAAAAATTATTAGCAACGGAAATCATCGAGTACTCACTTTGGAAGGCAACACGGGTAGACCTCAATTAACCAAACCTTTTATTCAAATATATAATGAAAGAAGGGTTAGGAGCAACAAAAAAAGCCTAAGCATTTGCCGATCATATATTAAATGTGTTTTATCCAAACCTCGACAAACGAGAACCAAAGTTTTTAGAATCATAGTACCAACTTGAACTATTCTTGGAAAAATTCATTACCAAACAAGTTTACCTGGAGGTACAATCAAACTTGAACCCTAAAAAGTCTCCTAAATATGACTTGATTTCCGCTAAAATCCTTAAAGAACTCTCCAAAAAAGGAATTTTGTACTTGACACAGATATTCAATGGAATGCTAAGGACGGGCTACTATCCCATTCCAAGGAAAGTTGCGCAAATTCTTACAATGCCTAAGCCAGGTAAACCTTCAGAAGACAGTAAATCATATAGACCTATTAGTCTACTGTCAATGATGTTGACAGTTTTTAAAAAATAATCAACTCTTCTTCTTCTTAAAGTTCCATCTCCTATCGGAGGTTGGATATCATAACGGCTATGGTCACTTTGTTGGCTGCTGCTCTGAAAAGTTGTAGTGAACTACAGTTAAACCATTCTCTAAGGTTTCTCAGCCAAGAGATGCGTCTTCTTCCTATGCTTTTTCTTCCTTGGATCCTTCCTTGTATAATAATTCTTAGCAGCTCATATTTTTCTCCTCTGGTTGTGTGACCCAAATACTCTAGTTTTCTTCTTTTTATCCTGTTCATAATTTCTAACTCCTTATTTAGACGTCGTAGTACCTCAGCATTGGTAACCCTTTAAACTCACTGAATTTTTAATATTCTTCTGTAACACCACATTTCGAACGCTTCTATTTTTCTTACGCGTTGTTTCTTCAATGTCCAAGCTTCCATTCCGTATAGTAAGATAGAAAATATGTAACATCTTAGAGCCTTCAATCTGAGATGCAACTGAAGGTCTCTGTTGGTAAGCATTGTCTTCATTTTCACAAATGCTTGCCTTGCAGTTTCAATTCGGACTTTGATTTCTCTGATTTGGTCATTTTTGTCATCAACCCAGGTTCCCAGATATTTGTGTGTCTCTACTTTTTCTATTTGGGTTTTTATTATTTATTTTTAGTCTGTATCTAATGCAATAATCGTTAATTCTATTTACCAATTCTTGTAGCGATTCCAGGGTGTCTGCCATTATAACGGTGTCATCAGCGAACCTTATGGTATTTACTATTCTTCCGTTTACAGAGACTCCATCACCCAGATCCCCTATCGCTTCCTGGAATATGGCTTCACTGTACACGTTAAACAGTAATAGTGACAGAACACAGCCCTGTCTTACTCCTCTCTTTATATCTATATTTTCGGACTTTTGTTCTTCTATCTTTATATTGGCCTTTTGATTCCAATACAGATTAATAATGATTCGTAAGTCTCGTATGTATATATCTTTGTTTCTGAGTACTTCTATTATTTTTTCATGTCGGACCCTGTCGAATGCCTTCTCGATGTCGATGAAACAGGAATAAATATCTAGGTTCATATCTAAGCATCTTTGAGAGAGGACATTAAAAGCAAACAATGCCTCTCTCGTTCCCAGTTCCTTGCGGAACCCAAACTGAGTATCATCCATATCATCTTCTAGTTTTCTATATAAACTTCCATGAATCACCTTTAGAAATATTTTGAGGGTATGGCTTATTAGTGATATTGTCCTACAGTCTGAACAATATTTGGCATATACTGTTTTTGGTATTGCTACAAAGGTGGACACCAACCATTCCTGTGGGATTTTTCCAGCTTTATATACTTCATTAAATAGGTCCAGAATACAGAAATCACTTAATTACAGATCACAAACTTGAGCTGTTTAAGGAAGAAAAGGAATTCTAAAACTATGCAGGTTAGTGTTATTTATTATAATAGCATAACCATAGCATGTAATTCGTCTTTAAAAAGACAAACACATGACATGATGACAGTAAAATTCTCCTGTTAGTGATTCCATAGTAAATTATGAGGGAAAAACCAGGAAAAAAAACTCATAATACTATCCCGCCATTGTAAGTATTAGTTCGTGAATTTAGTTTACCTTCAACAAACATCAAAATTCTGATTTTATATGTTACGTTATTTAAAAAACATAAATGATGTATCCTCTATATGTTACTGACTTATTAATACTGGTATTTTCTTATTAATAACTTCCTCTTTCAATATTGGTAACCAGATCCTACTACATTCTGCCGAGGAATTTGCGACACAATTGGCCTCATTTAGCATCATTAGAGCCGCTTCTTTGATTTTTCTTTTTTTACCATCCGTTTCTTTTAGGACTACATTTGAATTATTCCGTTGAACCCTATGTTCATTATCCCATGCGTGTTTACATATTTGAGATCTATCAAATTCTCTATTTTTAATATAAGATTGATGTTCACTTATTCTACCATTTAATGGCCTTGATGATTCACCTAAATAAAACTGATCGCATTCCAAGGTATTTTATAAATGCAATTCTTTGTCCTTTCTTGTTAGAAAATTTTTATAATTTTTTAAAATCTTTCCATTAAATGTTAGAATAAGTGAACATCAATCTTATATTAAAAATAGAGAATTTGATAGATCTCAAATATGTAAACACGCATGGGATAATGAACATAGGGTTCAAAGGAATAATTCCAATGTAGTCCTAAAAGAAACGGATGGTAAAAAAAGAAAAATCAAAGAAGCGGCTCTAATTATGCTAAATGAGGCCAATTGTGTCGCAAATTCATCGGCAGAATGTAGTAGGATCTGGTTACCAATATTGAAAGAGGAAGTTATTAAAAAGAAAATACCAGTATTAGTAAGTCAGTAACATAAAGAGGATACATCATTTATGTTTTTTAAATAACGTAACATATAAAATCAGAATTTTGATGTTTGTTGAAGGTAAACTAAATTCACGAACAAATACTTACAATGTCGGGATAGTATTATGAGGTTTTCTCCTGGTTTTTCCCTCATAATTTACTATGGAATCACTAACAGGAGAATTTTACTGTCAACAATATTGGCAATATCATTTTAAAGTCGTCTACTTTAAAATGCATAATGTATGTCTGAATTGTCAATATAAATGAGTCAGATAAAATTAATTATTAAAAGAATTTTTCACTATGTAACAAAAAACAAAATTTGTTTAATTTGCTGTTTGTATTTTGAGAACGATTTCCGAAGTGGAAATTGAAACGTCAATAAACGTATTTTATCTTTAATTGTGGCTTATTTCCAGTTAAATAGTAATTAATTTACAATGCCACAAGAAAATAGCTTCAGAACAATGTTAAATTAAAAGTTGGAAAAATGATGGACACTATACTAAGTTTGATTGGAAAAGAAGGTAAGACATTAAAAGATGTTTACAATAAGCCTGGCAATAAGAAATATGAAAAGCAAGTGAGGTTTGTTAGTACTAAAAAAAACAAACTCCAAAATCTGAAAATTTACTTCAAAAACCAAGTACCTCTGACATCAGGTTACTACTACAAGATTGTGAAAATAAAATCAGTGAAAACGATCACTCGTTTTATATAACTTCTTGTATTTCAGTTTAAGCTCTTGATTTTTCTTTCTATGTTCCTGCTACTTTAATTTGCTATCATATTTGAGCATAATCATTTAAATTTCGTAACTGATATTTTAAAATTCAACTGATAGGTACATTACTTTACATAAATCGAAAATTCAACATTAATAACTAACTACACTATTTTTTTTATTTTTATTTTTATCCAACTTATTTTATATCCATCAGTTTTTACCAGAATTTTTCAACCCTCCCGTCAAAGTAAAGGATGACATGTGACATGAACACAATAAGAACGCTAATTCGGAAATGTTCGTTAGGGGCGTTGCAGTAGGATTCATTCCTCCCGTGACCGGCTAGTCATATTTGTATGTATCACATATACACGTTTTAAATAAATTCTATTGCTTACCTAAAGTTCCAATATTCTTCTTCGTTTTTAAAGTTTTTTAGTTCCTCGTCGTAATCTACTGTTCCCCTGACCGCTGATAACCAGACGTCATAACCATTGTTAGCCAAGAGAAATACTAGAAATAAACTTATTTTAATTTATCTATCTTTAAGTTAATTTTAATTGTTTCATTTTCAGTATGAACAATTACTTAGTTTTAAGTTCTTGATGGCAGTAGGCTTACGCTAAGCGCACACACATCGAATTTGGACGGTCGATAAAAGTTCGATCGAACAAATTCCTTTGGTGGCGCGAAGAAACAAATAATGTAAGCGGGCACACACATCGATCGCCAAACGTCACGGCATCGATGTCGTGTGATGGTCGTGTGGCGATCGATAAATGTCACTGCATTCACGGCTGCCGTGGTCGTTGCCGTCGTTCCAAGGCGTATAGTATCAAATGAACGCGCGCACACACATCGATATCTTTATCGACCGACCAGAGGACCAGTTGCGTTTTTTGACACTACTCAAGGTACGTCGCTCCGTGTTGCTAAGTGGGTCTGTGTTGCTCATTGTGATTTTGTTTACTCTAGCTAACAAACCTTTGTGGATTAAAAAACGTCATCGAATAAAAATATCATGTAGTGTGCGCGCAAGGCATCATCGACAAAAGTTCGGTCGAACTTTTATCGACCGTTCAAATTCGATGTGTATGCGCCTAGCCTGAATTCACTAGAACATTCCCACAGAATTCCCAAAACCAAAAGAATAAAAAACACCGAAGTAATTAACATAATGCAGAAGATCAAGGAACTGATGCCAAAGATCCAAGATCTTAAACTAAGGTATATTGGATATTTCATGAGGAGAAACAGATACGAAATACTTCGGATGACCATTAAAGGAAAAAATCATGGTAAAGAACAATAAAAAGAAGATAAAATTCTTGCGTTAATGATCTGGAACGTTGCTTTAGCAAAATTCATTGACGAATTCTTCAGAGCCGCTCCTTTCCGCGTAACTTTAGCCCATTATATCGCCAATATTCGAAGGGAGACAGCAAAGTAAGAAGAAGGAGGCAGTATCAGAGGAAGGCCAAAACAGACTTATTTGTAGATGACTAGGTAGGACATGATTGTGAAGGTTGATGATTGAAGGATGATTGATATTAGTACGAAGCAAGATAAAAACAAACAGAGCAACGTTATTTGGAACTTCCATCCTGCATTATGATAAAGGGAATGAAAATCATGATGATAATACTATCAATATTTATATAACAGTCTTCTAACTCACGGTTAACAAAAGAACTTAGATCAAACTGCATTAAAAAACTATATTTTAAATTATGTAATACTTACAATATTCACTACGCAAAAAAGTTTAACAGTAGATTAATTAATATCCACTATTTGTGAATCAATTAACTAAACATTAGAATTGTTAAAAATTTGTTTTAAAACATAAATATATTTCCAACTAAATGAAAAAAAAAATATTTACTGATAGATTTTGCTCCTTGCAGCAACCAGAACTCTGGAGATCCTCCCATCCCAGGCATTAGTAGTAGAGGTTGGTTAAAACTGCTGTTACCTTTTGGTAATATCCTGTATACGAACAAACGGTAGCCGTCTTCAGATGTAACGATATGTTCTTCGAATTTGTAACCATATTTTGAGATTATTTGAACCTAAGTGAGAAATTAGAGAGTGTCATTATTAGACTTCGGCAAATATGCAAATAAAAATGTAGAAAATATGCGCATAAATATGCACGTGTTTACCCGAAAATATGCAAATATTTTACAAAATATGCATACAAATAAATAAAAAAATCGTAAAATAGTAACAATTTTATTTAAAAAAAAAAGTGTACATAACTAAATATTTCCTACTATTCATTAAGATTTACATTTATTTTAAGTAACTACATCATTTTTAAGTATGAATAAACTTATTTAGAATTATGGTAACAATAAATGACCAAGTGGTGTTCAAAATTTTCTAACAAAAACTTGTGGCTTCTGTCTGAGTACATATATTTATATATGGAAAAACTTCGTTCAACATCAACTGATGTAACGGGAGCATTTTTCAAACTAACCAAAACATTTGGTTCTAAATTAATTGTTTCCGAAATATTTACAGCTAGAACACTGACTACTTCAGAAAGAATATGGTAACCTTTATTTTTTTCCATAGTAGCTTCAAATTTTTTTAAAATATCTTTTCCAATATTACCTCTAACGTTCCGACAACATGACGCAAATTCTTTTATTAATGCTGTACTGTCGAACAATGACAATTTTAGTGATTCTAACTGAGTAATTGTTTTTTGAACAAAACTAAAATTTGATTTTATAAATGAAAGTTCTTGTTGAAGCAAGTTACTCTGAAAAGTTTGTTTAGAATCCAAAAGAGATTGGGAACTTTCATCTGTTAATGTATCAATTATGTTCTTTATTTTAACAAAATGATCTGCATAAAAATTAGCTGCTTCTAACCATGTTCCCCATCGCGTTAAAATAGGTTGTGGTGGAAGAGGAATGTTAGGTAGCATTTCTTTATAAAGTTGAACTCTTATAGGAGATTTAAGAAATACTTTTTTGACACTGGATATCATGGTATTTACAAGAGGAAACTTTTTTCGTATTTCCTCTGCAACTCTGTTTAATCCATGCGCTACACAAGTAACATGTATTAAATCTGGGAAACATATTTTTAAATTTTGTCCTGCTTTCACCATATAAGGAGCAGCATCCGATAAAATAAGCAGTAATTTATTAGAAGGAATAGTTGTCGGAAGAAAAAAAGTTGCTGATGTTTCTTGAATAAAACGCGAAATTGTTAAAGCATTTGTTTTCTCAAGTTGCTGGCATGAAATAAGATGAGATTTTGGTAAGGTATCTTCTTTAAGAACACCAATCAATAAATGAGCAATATACTTTCTTGAGGAATCAGTGGTTTCGTCTACAGATATGTAAAAATAATTATCTGCAATTTCTTCCTTAATATTAATTAACACCGACGAGTATAGCCCGTTCACATTATTTCTTCTTAGAGACCGATCACTTTGAACATTAAGTTTGCAATATTTTTTTAGAAACGAACTAAAATTTACATTTGCTAATTTTGAAAGCGGTATGTTTGCAGACACTAATGCGCGACACAAGTCTTCATTAAAAGTTTCTTGCTCATCTAATTTTTTTGAAGTAGATTGGAAACATTTAGCCATTGAAGTTTGATGTTTTCCTCCTATTTTTCATTTTTTTGCAATGTGTGAAGCAGTTCTCACATGTTGGTCTATCTGAAATTTCTTCTCACATGCTATCTATAAATAAAAATAAAAACTTTTATTTTAACCCAACCTTTAAAATATAAAAATATACAAGCTGTTTTTGGTTAATCGAATAACTGGTTTGGAAAAAAAACATTCGCTAAGTGTTTTAAATGCAGTATTAATCCACAAATTAGTTTTTGTTACTAACCATTAGTACATCATATAACTTATTTTAAAATTCAACAAAAGTTTTTTTTTTGTTAATTCAATTACAATAAAAATAATTGTGTTTTAGAATAGCTGACTTCATAAAAAAAAGTAAAGGTGAAAAATTTTTCTAAATACACACCATTGTATTGTACCATGGACAATTTTTTCTCGCTAAAGGAAGCTATTTTTCATTTAAAAACAACCTACGAGTACTAAATTTCAAGTAAATACGTTTATTGGTTTTAAAGTTGTTATTATTAACTAAAAGAATTTAATTTTTTTTAATTTTAACACCCTGTATCTCGAAAAGTAAATAAGTTTGACCCCTCATTAACTATATCGTTTTGTTCAATTTTTCGAGAAATATCTACAGTCAAACGTTGTAAGTGTCATTTGGAAACACCCTGTATGTATGAAATATTAGATATTTAATAGAAAATATTAGATACTTACAATTTTGTCACAGACTGAACAGTAGATTATTCCCATATCCGTAGACAGCTCTTTATAAGGTTTAATCCAAGTTGAAGCACTGGTTGTTTTAGGCATTATAAAATCACAATCTTCCTTTTTGTTACGCACAACGAGTGTTTACGCTTTGAATATCAAAACAAAAATGATTTACAAATCTGAGCATCAAATTAGAAATGTTTAGGTACCTAATTTAATAAACTGGGAGATTTTGGAAAATCCCTAAATTAGGAACAAAACTATTAGCCGTTTACCTGCTGTTAAGATACAATAAATTGTAGATAGATTTGGGGATTAGATCATAAAATGCAAATGAGCGAACCCTTAGCGATTATCCAATAACTGAATGCCTCAGTGACCGAGACTTTCTAAGAATGTTGAGGGCTACTTAAATTGATCTTCTTTGAAATTGTAAATGTTTTGTACCTGTAGAGATTACGTACTTAGATCATTTATTGATTAAAATGACTACAAAATTTTATACAAGAATTGAAATAAATTGGTATGTTTAAAAATTTTCAAATACAGTATAAAAATCTGAACTTTTATGCACTTTATGCAAACTTTTATACAAGTATGCCAAAATATGAAATATTTGCATAAAATATGCACAATATGCAAAATATGCAATATGCATATTTGCCGAAGTCTAGTCATTATGATTATGATGTCAATTATTTCTAGATAACTGGAGAATTCTTATTTAAAAATATAATTTTTGTAAAACACTTCATATTTTAGACGACATCATTACACTCCATTAAATGTTGACATATTAAAAAAACTGGTAAAAAAAGTTTCTTACTACAAACATTTGCTCCGACGCCTTTCTCAAATCTTGTTTGTATAATATACATGCGTATACATACCTTTGTATAGTCTCCAGCCTTAATAAGACTATAATTCTTGGAGACTCTTTTATCTTTTATTAAACCTTCTAGGTATCTTCCTCACGGACTCACTCCTTGACCTCATTCTCTACTAATACTTAATCATGAGCTGATATTTATTAATTAGTTTGGTATGTCTAGTAAAAGAAACCATTTTATTTAAGGACTACACCACAAACACCTCCAGAGTAATAAGAAATTAAAAAACGCAAACTAAAACCTTTTGAAATACTCCACCTCACCACCTCACTCTGAAACACCAACGGTCCTCAGATAGGTAACGTTGACGTCGAAATTTATATCGTCAGAGGTATTACGGACCTTTAGGAACTAATAAATCAACTTGGAACATCAGAACTAAATTATTCAGATCAACATTCTCACCTTACATCATAATCAAAGTTGCATTTCCAATTTGGAATACCAAAGGTCATTTCTACTGGAACGATGGTGTTTTCTAGAAAACTTAAAAATCCTAACGAAACTAAATACAGAGTGGCCCAAAAGTCTGGAAACGGCTAATGATCTCGTAAAATGCTAATCATAATTGTACAAAATTTGAGGTACACCTATTTTGGGATACGGAGATTCCATATTTGATATTTACAATGTTGACAGATTTGCCGTTTTTCTTATATTATTAGTAACTTTGGTTTTTCAAATACATCACCCTATATATTCAGTCATTATTGGAATCTCCTATGCAATACGCGTTCAACCATATGTAACATTTATAATTGTATGTAATCTGGAAGGTCATAAATACATAAAACTGAAGTCTGGCAACGCCTAAATTGTTTCAATAAATTTTTTAATACTAACTATTTTCAAATACATTCAAACGTAACAACTGATAGTTTAGAACATTTTTTAATATAGTAGTTACGTTATTAAGTGTTCAAAATATGCTCAATTTGTGAGTTGACAGCACCCTAATCGATGGTAGAAGGCGTCTACCACATTTCTCCATGATTGTCTAGAAATTATTCGAGATTCATTGATAATTCGTTGCCTTAGTTCTGCAAGACTTGCTGGTTAAGTTTTGTAAACTGAATTTTTCAAGTATCCCTAATAAAAATAATCTTTAGGATTGAAATCGGGTGAACGTGGAGGCCATTCAATTCTACCTTGTCTACCAATTTATCGTCCAGGAAATATCTTATCTAAATATCGCCGAACATTTACACCAACTATCTGACGTTAAATTTCTTTCGACAAAAAATGACCCAATTGAATAAGTAACTACTATATCTGACCATACATTTAATTTTTGTGGTCTTTGAGTATGGTTTTCACGCATTCAGTCTTCAGTGTGAACTTACGTCAACCCAGTACCTTAAATTGTGTCGATTTACACTTCCACACAGTGTTGCTTCATCGGAAAAACATATTCTGTTAACGAAATTTTAATAATTTTCAATTTTATCCATCATTACCTCAGTAAACTCTAATCTACTACCAAAGTCATCTTCACTTAATTCTTGCAATAAGTTAATTTTGTATGATTTAAATTTATTTTTACGTAATAAACGTAAGACTGAAGAATGACCTACATCATGTACTTGTGCAACCCTACCTGGGGGTGTATGTGGATCTTCAACAAAACTTTGCTTATATCTGAAGTTTTGTTGTCATTGATAACTCGTTTCGGTCAACCTGATCGGTATCTATCTTTTACTTCTCTCAAATCGCCTTACAGTTTTTTGTACCGTCGTCTTATGAATAGGAGAACGGTTTAGAGAACGGCATTTTAGAGAAGCAATTTAAATTGCAGAACTTTTTGAACCACAACTACTGGCAATTTTAGTTCATAATTTAAATGGTGAACAAATGTCAAAATCACAGCATTCTCCATTTAAATATTTAATTTTATTAAAATCTACATAGTTTGCACTCTTTTATGTATTTAAGATCTTTCAGACTACATAAAATCAAGTGAACATATGGTTGAACTCGTATTGAATAGCTGAACTCGTGTGAAATTCACACTGAATGCGTGAAAACCATACTCAAAGACCACAAAAATTAAATCTATGGTCAGTTATAGTAGGTACTTATTTAATTGGGCCATTTTTTATCGAAAGAAATTTAACGTCAGGTAGTTGGTGTAAATGTTCGGCGTTATTTAGATGAGATATTTCCTGGACGATAATTTGGTAGACAAGGTAAAATTGAATGGCCTCCACGTTCACCCGATCTCAATCCTAAAGATTATTTTTATTAAAAATACTTGAAAAATTCAGTTTACAAAACTTAACCAGCAAGTCTTGCATAGCTAAGGCAATGAATTATCGATGAATCTCGAATAATTTCTAGACAAACATGGAAAAATGTGGTAGACGCATTCTACCATCGATTAGAGTGCTGTCAACTCACAAATGGAGCACATTTTGAACACTTAATAACGTAACTATTATGTTAAAAAATATTCTAAACTATCAATTGTTACGTTTTAATGTATTTGAAAATAGTTAGTATTAAAAAATTTATTGAAACAATTTTGCCAGACTTCGGTTTTATGTATTTATGACCTTCCAGATTACATAAAGTCATAAGTGTTACATATGGTTGAACTCGTATTTAATAGGAGATTCCAATAATGACTGAATATACGATGCATTTGAAAAACCAAATTTACTAGTAATATAAGAGAAACGGAAAATCTGGCAACATTGCAAATATCAAATATGGAATCTCCGTATCCCAAAATAGGCGTATCTCAAATTTTGTATAATTATGTCTGGTAATTTACGAGATAATTAGCCGTTTCCAAACTTTTGGGCCACTCTGTATATCAAACCCTTGTTACGTAATGGAAAACGACAAAATCCTAAACTTAGACGAACGTTCACGCTTTTAAAACACACTTTCAAGGCGTCTTTGTTACCTCAAATAAATACTCTAAATTTTCTTCCATAATCTACAAACTATCCATGATATTTCATCAAAAAACACTAGAAACACTCAGTGTTCTACGTAAAGTCTTCGAGAGGACCCAGAAGCAGAGACTCTTAAATTGTACCACAGAAAGCAGTATCATCCTTAAATTCCAATTCGGCTTTTGAGAAGGTCACGTTTGAGGTACACAGAATCTAAATGTCAAAATAATTCGCTCTTATCACCTTCCTCCAATTTGAGATGATACCGATCCAAATGAGATTCAAGGGCGTCAACTGATTTCCAATACTTCCCAATAGTCACTGCAAAGAATATAGACGCTTGGTCACTGTTTGGAGTGGATTTTGGTGTTAACGACGCGATCGGCCCATATTTCTTTGAGAACGACCTTGGCCAGACCATAACCTTCAACAGCCAGCACTAGAGGTCGGTGATTATTAAATGTGTGAGACATACTCATGAAATTATTAAAAAGTGGTGTATCCGAGAAAAAAATATGGTTAACATAACATTCAACCAATTGTAATAGACACTGATAATATAAGTAGCTCAGATTCTGAGAGTGAATAAATCTTAAATTTATGAAAGTAGCGGATGTACTGTAACTTAGTCACTTTTCAGAAGTTCTGTATGTTATATGATAATATGCATCAAAAATTCTAATATGTACTAGATACAGGTGATAATCAATGATCACTTACCGCAGATAATCCTTTATCCGAATTGTGCCAGCAGTTGTCGTTGTTGTTGATGGTAAAATAAGCGGATAAGGTACTGCATACGTTATTTTTTTGGGGGATCCACAATAATATCAGTCTTGCAAATATACATATAATTATAACGGTGGACCACTTAAATAGTTTACTGAAAAAAAAACTTTGTATTTGGTATTGATTCTATTATTTATTGTTTGTGTATAAAGCAGTTTGGTTTAATCGAACTAGGTTCGTTAAAAACAAAGCATAATGATATACAACCTCATAAATATTTAAAGAATAAAAAATAGTAACCATTGTCAATGGTATTACAGCTCGCTAAAAGATAAATCCTTCTTCAAAACAATCTTTCATTTTTTCCTGTCTCAGCTAACTTTTATCAAACTTTAAGTTTTCTAGGTACCTAAATTTATATATAAGACACGATGCTGTTATAACGTTAGGCGATTTTAATACTAAACTGGGGAGAGAAGAAACGTTTGCAAATATATTTGGGAAACACAGTTTGCACACTGAATCCAGTCAAAATGGACTCAGGGTGGCACAGTTCGCAGCAGCAAATAATTACGTAGTTGTCAGTACTAACTTCCAGAGAAAAGTTAGTATAAATCTTCATCTTCCATAAAGATGATTAAATTGATCATATACTCATCTCAAAAAGATAGGCAACAGACTTAACTAATTTCAGAACGTATCGCGGGGCGAACTCTGACTCAGATCACTATCTTGTAGGGGGAAAATTACGGCAGAAAATAGCGACAGTAGCAAAAGGGAAAATATTCAAATCAAAAAATGGAATGTCGAAGGATTCAAAAGCGCAACAAAGAGACAAGATTACAGAAATGCTCTCCAAATAAAAATCAACCGAACTAGAGAGGAAGATACTGCAGAGGAGGAATGGAGACAATTAAAAACAATTATAACGGAGTCAGCAGAGGAAACTGTCGGAAAAGCCAAAAGGCAAAGAAATGCGGAACGGTATGATGATGAATGCAGAACTGCAGTAGAGGATAAAAGGCAAGCTAGGCTTAACCAACTTCAAAGAAACACAAGAAATAGCAGTGAGATTTATAACGAAAAAAGAATACAAGCGACTAGAATATGCAGAAGAAAGAAAAGAGAGGCTATGAAAAAACAAGTAGAAGAAATCGTAAAGCATAACAACAGACGCGAAAGTAGAAAATTCTATAAATGCATAAAAGAAAGCACACAGTCATTTAGACCAAAACTAACGATATGCAAAGACAAGGACGGAGAACTACTAACAAAAAAGCAAAAAATTATAATGAGATGGAAACAATATTTCGAAAAAAATATAAATGCAGACAACGAAAATGATCAGAACGAGACAATATATTATACGACGGAGCTGCACATCGAAAATCCGAGTTATGAAGAAGTAGTTCAGATAATAAATAAACTAAAAAATAATAAAGCACCGAACTCTGGGAAAGAATCCATTACATAATAAAATTATTATGGACGAAGGAGCAAATGCCAGAAGAATGGACAGTTGGCCTCATACAGCCAATATATAAAACAAGGAGATAAGAGGGAATACCAGAATTATAGGCCAATTACATTGCTAAATGTAATATACAAAATTCTTTCTGGTATAATCTACAATAGATTATTAGAATACTCCAAAAATATAATTGGTGATTATCAAAATGGATTCAGACCAAATAGAGCCACCACAGATAACATATTCATACTAAGATCGATACAAGAAAAAGCTTATAAATATGACATAGACCTATATAATATGTATATAAACTTTAAACAAGCTTTTGATAGTGTGAAAAGAGACAGCCTCATAAAAATGACGTTGCAGGGTTCAAAAGCCGCAGTCAGAGTAGATGGAGAACTGACTCCCCTGTTTAACATCAACATGGAAGTAAGACAGGGAGATGCCCTATCAACCATGCTATTCAACCTAGTTCTTGAGGCAGTCATCAAAAAAACCAATATAACCGGCCAGATAAACAATAAATAAGTACAAATTACTGCACATGCAGAAGATGTAGCCATCATTAGTAGGAATAAGTCACGACTAATGGAAGTGTTCAAACAAATTGATCCTGAAGCAAGAAAAAGAGGTCTCAAAATAAACGAAGCAAAAACGAAGTATATGACAGTCAAAAGAATAACTGACAATGAAAATAATATCACAATAGACAACTATACTATCGAACGAGTGGATGCCTTTACATATCTCGGCACAGAAATCATTCAGAAGAACTCCGTAAGTAGCTAAATTAATGCACGTATTTCCAGCGGGAATCGTACATACTATGCTAATAAAAGATTGATGACATCGAAATTATTAGACAAAAGAACCAAAATGACAATCTACAGAACACTGATTAGACCCGTAGTAACCTATGGATGTGAAACTTGGGTAATGACGAAAAAAGATGAAGCCCAACTCATGACATTCGAGAGAAAAATACTAAGGAAAGTATATGGCCCGGTACAAGAGGAAGATGGCACATGGAGAATCAGGAGAAACGACGAGGTTAATGAGTTAAATGAAGGTTATGACATTGTAAGATTTGTGAAAAGTAAAAGACTGTCATGGCTGGAACATGTGCAGAGACAAAACGATGTAAAAACAACAAAGAAAATGTTACAATGAAGCCCATAGGAAGGCGAAAAAAAGGAAGGCCCAGAACGAGATGGTTGGATGACGTGGAAGACGACCTGAAAACAATGAACATACGACAATGGAGAAGAAGGGCACAAGAGAGATCTGAATGGAAGGATAAAGCCAGACAGGCAAAGACCCATCCAGGGTTATGATACCAAAAGAAAAAGAAGAAGAAGGTACCTAAATTTTAATTTTTCTCTGGATTATCGGCCCGCCGGTTTTCTTAGATTAAAAATGTTTCTCGCTGCTGTATTTTCTCCTCACCTGATTACATCCATCTGAAACCTGCTACCGTAGTAAATTTTACCACGTCAGGTTTCTCGTAGTTTCTATTTAACTTATAGTTATCATGCTTGCGCTACAGTTCTTGCTCTTTTCCTCCTTCATATATTTCTAGAATTGTATACTTAAAGCGTTTGAGCAGTTACCCTTAATGACCAAAATGTTTTAGTCAGAACTTTTCTGACTCGTCATCTCCATATCAAACTATTTGTATAGTTTTATCAAAGATTGTACCATTCACATAAATCTGAGAATCTGGAATTACTTTTACCAGTGCAAGGTTACATAGAAGACACAATAGTTCATCTCCCAGCTTAGTCCAATTTTACAGTAGAACGGCTTTAAAATCTTGTTCGGGACTCTAATTGTACTATATGTGTCTTTGAGTTTTAGTTATACTAGTTAAACAAGCTGGATTTGACACTTCAGCATGACCTGAAACAATTTACTGAGTTATATGTGGTTATCGACGACGAATTCTAGGGTTTTCCCAAGAATTTACCATACTGTAGAGATTTGGTCAGTTGATGATTTTTTAAGTGAGTATTACCTATTACTGATCCCACCAACTACTTTTGATTAATTTATAACTATAATTATTAATGTTAACAACAGTTACGTTACCTTTATCACTTTTGACAATATAAATTTCAGGATGGTTTTTAAGAAAAAGTTTAGTTTGTAAATAGTATTTATTTAAAAAATGATCTTTGACTTCTTTATGAGAATTTTACCTTGACATGAGAATTGTAAGAAATACAGACAATATGTTGAAAACTAGATGGTTCAGAAAACCCATATGTAGTAATAGATTTATAAGCTATTACTCTAATCATCCAAATAAGATGAAAATGAACCTTATAACAGGATTAAAGGAACGTGTTTTAAAACTTTCTCATCCAGACTATCTACAAGAAGATCTTCATTTGTTAAAAAATATTTTAATTGAAAACTCTTATCCTCCAGATATGCTACATAGGATGCTTTTTTCTAATTTATTAAATATAAATAACTTAACACCATTTTTTGCTAAATCTCAAAACACTGTATCCAACAATCAAAACATATATTATCATTCACTACCTTTTATACCATCATTAACTCCTAAATTAATACAAACATTAAAGGTTATTGACAATATAAAAATAGCAACAAAGAACATCAAAACTATTTCATCTTTATATTCCAAAACTAAATATCCTATAGACAAATTAGATCAAACAAATGTAGTATACAGCATTGTTTGTACTCAGTGTGAAGCTGAGTATATTGGTGAGACTGGAAGAAATCTCTCAAATCGCATTATTTCTCACAAGAGTGATTGTAGAATTAAGAAACCATCTTGTGCTTTGGCAGAGCATGTAATAGACAAAAACCATATTATGGATTTTGATAATATTAAAATTTTATGTAATGAAAGTAATAAATTTAAAAGAACTTTTTTGGAAATGGTTTGTATTAGCAAAAGTGATAATAATTTAAACAAAAGGTCAGAAATTCAAAATTTAAGTAAAATTTATAATTATATTATTTCTATTTAATTTATATATGCAGTCAGTAAAATATCACATTTTGAATTTTCCATGTATTTGTTAAATTTTTTCGGGCATCTATCAATGGTGAATAAATCTTCTTCTTTTTTGTTACTAAACAAAGAAGAATTTTTTAAACAAAATTTTATTTGTGACAATATGTCAAAAATAAAAATTTTTAAGTTAGTATTTATGACATTTAGGCTGGTTTGTAGCTACTCTATTTTTGTTTACAAATTCAATTTTTTGTTAAGAAACTTCATCAAAATTTTTCAGAGAAACATTTATTAGAATAAGACATTTTTTTATTAATATTTTTTGTACTTAATATGTAAGCAGCAGTTTTATATAAAAAACTAATTTTATTTGGTGAGTTAACAAAAAATTTTTTTATTTCTAGTTCAACTTTGTAAGATATTTTGTATTTTTTAGAAGCTCTTGATATATATATATATATATATATATATATATATATATATATATATATATATATATATATATTGACATAAAATATTCCTATAATAAAATAATGTTTGTACTACCTGCGCTGCATGTTGTCTTCTAAATTCAATAGCTATAACATCCTTACCTAAAAATTAATACCATTAAACTAAATTGTGCATTGTACATACATATAATATTCCGAAAGAACAAAAGAAAGACTAAAGAAACTAAAACTAGATGTCACAAATATCAGTATTTTTAATATCTGGTCATCTATTCATCCTTTTAATGTGCAGTCTATATTATGGGACAGTTTCGACCGTATCAATACACAGACAGCCCTAAACACTTTCGAATCGAAGACTGAAATTCACAACGTTGAAATCCACTACAGTGGTTCATAACTTTTCTGATACTCCTATTTCGACCATTACCACTCAAGCTTTAACAAAAGGTTTCAATTACTCTCTTACCCCAAGTCACATTCCAATTGAGACAATTATCTGTCAAACTGAAAAATCTGTCCAGTTTACCGTCCGAAGATGATAAAATGATTAGAGAAGACATCACTAGAGTTCTTAGAAACTCAAAGCCTCCTACACCAATGCGAGAAAAAATCCCTGAAAGAACTTTAGTCAAATCTAAATCGAGACATTCTTCCTACCGATAAAGGCAATGCTACCGTCATTCTAAACACTTCTTATATTAACTAACTCTCAAATCTCATTAATACTTAAGACTACAGACCGATTCCTAATAATCCAACAACTTATCTGGAAAAAAAAACAACAAAAGCAATTATCAATAAAACCTCTCTTCCTGTTGACATAAAACAATCTTTAATTCCTTGTGAAAAGTCTTCTAGAACACCTCGAATATATGGCCTACCCAAAATTTATAAATGCGATATTGCTCTACGTCCCATTCTTAGTGCATACAACTACACAACCATTGGCCAAGTACTTGGCCAAAACTTTACAACTTGTCTTTGAAAATGCTTTATCCTTCGTCAAAAATTCTTTTCATTTCATCGAACTTCTTCAACAATACCCTGTGTCACCGTCAGACGTTCTAGTAGGTAAGTTTTGATTTTGTTTCACTCTTTACAAATATTCCTATAGACGAAACTCTAAACATTCTGAAAACTAAATACAGTATCCAGCAATACTACTTATCCCTCATTAAACATTGTATATCCAACACTTATTTTATCATCCAAAATTAATTCTACATACAAATAAATGGTGCCCCAATGGACTCCTTACTATGTTCAGTAATTGCCAATATCTTTATGAAAGACAGGGAGACCCAAGCGCTATCCACATCACTTCTCAAACCCCCATGTTGCCTACGATATGTTGATGATACCCCTACCATTTCTCGACGTTATCATAAATAAAAACCAATCCGAAGGTTTTCATCACTTTTTTTATCGAAAACCCACCAATACCAATCGTTATTTGCATGCCAACTCTATCATTCACCTTCACAAATTAATTCAGTCATGAATACTCTGTCTTCAGATCAATACGCCTTTGCAATGGTGCAAGTATGGTGCAAGTACCAGCTAAGCTCTCTAGTTTAAAACAAGCCTTCATTCAAAACAGTTATCTCGTAAATCACATCAATAGGAGCATCCACAGACATCAATCTCCCACTCAATCTCAACCAAAGACTCTGATCATATATCAAAGGTGTCACTGACAAAATCGACAAAATTCTTAAATCAAGAGGAATAAAGACAATATTTACCCCCCAACAAAAACTTTCATCTCTTGTCTGATCAATCAATGACAATATTCCAAATGAACAACACAGAGTTTATGAAATTCCTTGTGCAGACTGCCCCGATCCTATATAGGCCAAACAAATCGTAGAAAACAAAATAGGATTTATGAACATTCCATTTCTGTTCGCAATTTTGACTTAATTTCAGCTTTAGGTCAACACTATCTTCATGCAGCTCACAAAATTGATTTTGAAAACTCCAGAACCATAACCCCCGTCTCATAAATTGTCTCAATAAAAGAGATGACGGCAAACGGTTACCTTCGACTTAAAGTCGCGGGGGTTGGCGCGAACATTTCTGAGAGTAGGATTTTGATCGACGGGTGTAGAGCACGTTACATTAATGAAATATCGTCCTGTACCCGTCAGTCAAAATCCTACTGTCAGATGAAGAATCCAATCGTGATGAAAAATGTGGATGTGGAAGAGTTAGAGTCAATAAATCAAATCATCATGTAACAAATCAACATGTAACAATCAATCATGTAACAAATCAACAAATAAAATCATCAAATCAAATACAGCCTTCAAAATATTTCAACGATTTTAACGGACGAATTGATTGAACAGAAAGAAAACGCTCAAAGAAAAAAATTTAGAATAAAAGAGTAAGTATCGTCAGATATGATTGAAATGAAAAAAAAGCAGCAGTGTTGTAAAGTAGGTAAATTTGTAATAATAGATGAATCTATGGTTCACTAGCGAGGTCTCTTAGGCTTTAGGCAATACATAATAAATAACCTTTATAAATATGGCGTTAATACATCAGCAAATCTGATGTAAGTAGCGGAATGGGACATGCAGAAGCTGTCATATTAAACCAATATTGACCAAGCAATGAAAAAATAAGTTAAGTAATAAAAGATGTGTTTAAAATGAATTATTATTATGTCACATTTCTATATCATGAGTCTAATTACTAGTTTTTTAAAATCATACATTCATGTTTGTTCTATATTGCTAATTAGGAAGTAATAGACGATATTAATAATAAGGGCGGTACTAATAGTATCATCCCACAGGAGTACTGTACTATTATTTTAATTCGTCACTTAAAGACCGAGGAACTGGTTTATTACTAATCGATTTTTAAGTACTTCCTTTTTATTTTAAATTTGATTTGACACAATTTGTAAAAAAGGTACAACCTTATGATTCACAAGAATTTATTGGACGTGAGTATTTTAAAGGTTTGGCCTGTCCACTTTTCGTTTTTTTTTTTTTCTAGTTGTTGAATTTATAAAGTAATAAATTCTTAGACAGAAGTATCTAACGCACCATTTTTTGTTAATTTTTACTATAATTTGTCATTTTTAATTATAATTTGTGAAATAGGTTTAAATAAAAATGAATGATAGACTACAGATATATATATATATATATATATATATATATATATATATTATATATATATATAGTTCAGCTCAACAGTCCTCGAAGGCCCAAGGCTTCAACCGTTTTCTTCCATTTCTTTCTATATTATGCTAAGTTTTTCCAATCTTGTACCCGCAGCGACTTCAGATCTTTTTTTTCCGACTCCAGCCATTTTCTTCGGGGGCGGCCTCTTTTTCTTTTTGTACCAGCCTCCGTGTTTATTAATTCATTGGGAACTCTTCCTTCCTTCATTCTTGCTATATGTCCGAGCCATCTTATTCTTTAAATTTTAGCGAGTCGTTATTTTTAATTGCCCATATATTTGCATTATTTCTTCATTCGTTCTTCTTCGTCAGATGTTCCCCTCTTTTACACCTCCGTATATATTTCTAAGAATTTTTCGTTCCCATCTATCTAATTTTAGATAGAGTCTATCTAATTTTAGTAATCGCATAGAGTACTGTAGGTCGGATAATTGTTGTATATATTCGTTTTTTTTTTTGCTTTTCTGGATATTATCTTCGACCTCAGTATCTTAGTCAGGCTCCCAGCACTCTTACTACCTTTGGCCATTCTTTTTATGATTTCTTGGTTCTCTTCGTTCCTATTTGTTAGTGTCACTTTAAAGTAATCGAATTGGCTAACAACTTTAAAGTTATATTCTTTACTTGGGCTTTGTATCTTAAAGGGCTATCCTAGATGATTTTCGTTTCCCTCATCACCATATATTTTCTTTTTCTTCGTTTATTTCTAAACCATTTTTCTGGCTATTCTCTCTATTCTAGTAAAGATTTCTCTTAATTTTGTAGGTCTCCTTGTTGTTAAGGTAACATCATCTGCATATGCTACGCATTGATGCCTGTGATGATATATTCTGCCTCTAGTGTAGATGTTACATTCTCGTAAAATCTTCTCTAAGATCAAATTGAAAAAATCTGTTGATAACGGGTCACCTTGTCGCAGACCTCTATTGGTGATAAAGCTATCCGAAACCCATCCTTTTAACATGACTTTACTTTTAGTATCATTGAGTATGCATTTAGTCAGTCTTACTATTTTTGGTGGAAATTCAAAATATTCTAGTGCTTCATATACTTTATTTCTTTTTATAGTATCATATGCCTGTCTAAAATCAATAAACAGCATGTGTAATGTTAGGTTGAATTCATATGAGCTAGCTAAAATTTGTTTCATTGTAAAAATTTGGTCTATTACCGATCTGTTTGCTCTGAAACCTGCTTGATATTCACCTAGACAATTTTCAACTTTTGTTTTAATTTTATTTCTAATTGATATGGCCAAAATCTTATACACTGTATCTTGTACAGCTATTCCCCTGTAATTTTTACATTATGTAACGTCTCCTTTTTTATGCACTGGACATAAGATTGCTTCTTTCCACTGATTGGGTATTTTTTCTTTGATCCACACTTCGCGTATTAACTCAGAGATTTATTCTTGCACCATTTCGCCACCTTCTTTTAGAAACTCAGCAATGATACCATTTTCACCAGGTGCTTTGTTGTTTTTTAAGTTTTGTATGTTCTCTATATCTTTACAGATATATATACATACATTATTATATTAATTACTCCTTATTATGATGAAGGCTGGGTTCTCTTTTGTGATATTTTTTTTACAACTGCAAGTGTGGTCAAAAATCGTAGCGTAATACTCAGATTTGCGGAACTTACACACATAACTGAAGAGAGAGGACCTTTGAATTTAACGTTCTCAAAGACTGAAGAGAGGACGTTTGTGGATTACAAATAAAGAATACTAAGGTAATCAAATAGATGGTCAAAAACCTGTTTTTTGTTTAACTACATGCACTTACCATGAAGCAACATAAGTTGTAAGGTAGTTCAGAGTGATATGGTGAATCGAGTGAAATGGGGGAATGCTCTTTCGCCATGTTTTTTCCGGTACACAAATGTCTCTGTAAATCTAAATTCCGACAGTTTATTATCATTTATCCAGCGAGCACGTTGTGAAAACCAGCAGCTTTTTAAAAACCGTAAGTAATTTGTGCAAAATTGTTTCTGGTGCTAAATAAGTTTTATACAATGCATGCATTTGTAGACGTTGCTTCAGGTAGCCTACTCAGCGAGTTATTTTTCGATATATTCTGCCTTCTTAGACTGTTTATACACAACATAACCTAGAAATCGTTGCCTCAAAAATTGTGAACTTCTTGTAATGCTATTCATCATTTCACCCATGGTAAATAGAAGAAATGGTAAACTCCGGCAAGGCTGATATGGTGGAGGTCTTTTCCAATGCGTGTACCTATTTCTAGCACCGCTGTTTCAACAATTCCATTTTTTTTATTGGTTTGGTCCGATTTACTTTGGTTTGTAAGTGATTTAAAAAAAGCAAACTGTACTCGTATTTCTCGGCATAAGTAACACTTATATCATCATTGTTTCAGGCAAAGATGACTACGTTTTATAAAAGGCAAAGAGGATCCATCTGTACTGACTGGACAAAAGAGCAAGTCAAAGATGCCGTACAAGCAGTACAAAATTGAATGAGCGTGAATGATACATCAAAGGCGTTTGGTGTTCCATGGTTAACGCTGAAGAGAAGAATACCAAACGGGTACTTCACAAAAATCCTTGAGGAAGGTAGCATGGGTCTTGTGTTCGGGAATGTAAGAAGAAGATGGTAAATCATATCATAAGATTACTAACATTCGGATTTGCACCGTCTAGAATAGAAGTACGTAACATGGCATATAAACTGGCTGAGAAATGTAATCTTCATCACAAGTTTAACCATGAAAAAGAAATTGCCGGAATGTATTGGCTACATTTATTCTTAAAACGAAATCCAGAACTCTCAATCCGCAAATCGGAAGGAGTTTCATACACGATCAGGGGGTTTAAACAAGAAAAATGTTGCAAACTACTTTTCATTGCTGCAAAACATCTTGATAGAGCACAACCTACTTGATAATCCAGGAAATACATTTAACGTAGATAAATCCAGACTTTAACTAAATAACAGACCAGGTTATGTGTTGGCAGCAAAGGTATCTAAGAGCTTAGCTGCAATAACATCCAGTGAAAAAAGTTAAACCATATTCTAATCGCTTGCTGCAATGGAGAGGGTACCTTTTTACCTCCAGCATGTGTTTTGAAGAGAAAAAATAAAAAGCTGAGTACAAGGACGATGTGCCGCCTGATTTCATAATTTTCATGTCACAAAATTGGACGTACTTAACAACTGACATTTTCCTTCTGTGGCTAAGGAACCATTTTGGACCAAGGAAGCCTGATGAAATAGTAGTGCTCATTTTGAATGGACATAGCTCCTATTGCAACAGTATGGATATATAAGAGTTTACAGAGGAAAATACCATAGTTTGGCTCTGTGTACCCAGTCACAACCGTTTATCTGCAGCCACTAGAAAGACCTTTAAAATCCTATTATTACAATGATTGTAATTGCTACATTAAAATAAATCCAAATAGAAAAATTTTGAGACTACTTCACTTTAACCAGGTTGTTCACACTGCCAGGAAACCACGAATTCCTCAGAAACGCCAACAGCAAAAGTAGATAAAGATCAGGAACATGAACTCAGGCAAATTTCATTACAACTGAACTGTGTGGAAAATCCACAGGAAATTATATATTCTTCATCAGAGGCATCAGATCTCAGTTTAACAGTGCCAAGAGAAAAATGTCAAATAACTCTTGATGGATTATATTTCGCCGATACCTATACACAAAACAAAACAATTGAGTCAAAAACAGTAACCAAAGAGGCTACCAAAGGAAATACTAAAATCAAGCAATCTAAGAAACGAAAAACGTGTACCACTGACACCAAGTCTAACTCATCCCTGGATATCCACTTGAAAGACGATGATGACAATAAACATTGTTGTTGTGTAGGGTGTGGTGAACTGTACAGTTGCACTTAAAAGGACGTGGATTGGATCAAATGTATTAGCTGCCAACTTTGGCTGCAGGAAGATTGTTAAAAATATGAATCCATGTGTGATATATGTGATAAAAAGCAGAAGAAGTAAGTTCACAATTTGCTTGGACGAAATGGTGAATTTTTTAATAAAAATAAATATTTGTTTTTTTTTAAACATTTGTAATGTCTTAAAATGTGAACATATTACAAGTATATGCATTCACACAAGACTATGAACAAAAATTGAAAAATTCTATCATGATTTAGAAAAGGTATTAGCACCTACAAAGAAACACGATCTCAATATTATCATGGGAGATTTTAATGCAAAGATTGGTGAAGGTGAACAGGAAGATATCATAGGGAAATATGGTCTGGGAATACGAAATGAAAGAGGAGATAAATGTTGGCATATTTTTGCGTAGAATAACGAACACAATTTTCAAACTTCCAAAACGTCGTCTTTACACCTGGAAATCACCAGCAGATACACCTGAATGAGTTGTTCGTAACCAAATAGACTTCATATGTATAAATAAGAGATACAGAACTTCAGTATTAGCAGTAAAAACATATCCAGGCGCAGATATACCAACAGATCACAATATTTTAGTAGAAAAATAAGACTGAGATTAAAAAGAGTTGCAAGGACGAATAAGCAAACAGTTACTGTTGATAGAGAAACGATGCTAAATGATACTGTAAAACAAGAAATAACTAGTATATTAGAACAAAAAATGAAGTTAACATCAAGCAAAGAAGAAAGTACTGATGAAAACTGGACGAGAATTAAAGACGTCTTAAAGACTGTTCAAGAAACAAAATTGAGTGCGCTAAAAGCAAGAAAAAACAAGGGTGGATGACAGAAGAAATACTGAGACTTATGGATCAAAGAAGAGAAGTCAGAAATAAAGATAAAAACGAACACAAGGGGATCCACTTAATAATCAGGCAGAAGATAAGACACGCAAAAACACAATTTCATAGTAAATAAGTAAATAGTAAAGTGAGGTAAGACGTTCAAACGGCAAAAAATGGAAGAGCACTTGGCCCCGATGAAGTAAGTGCTGAAATACTAAAGTTTTTGGGAGAAAATGAAATTAAAGCTCTGTGTAATCTCTTTAACAGAATTTATGACACTGGGATATTACCAACTGATTGGTTAAAGTCGACATTTGTCACAATACCTAAGAAACATCGTCCAAAGACATGCGGTGATTATCGGACAATAAGTCTGATGAGTCACGTTTTGAAGATCTTCTTGTGAGTAATACACAGCAGAATTTAAACGCTGTTAGAGGACAGAATTAGCAATACTTACTCAATTTGGATTTAGGAGTGGTTTGGGTACAAGAGAAGCCTTGTTTAGTATACAGGTGCTAGTACAGAGATGCAGAGATATAAATCAAAATGTGTACATTTGTGCAATCGATTTTGAAAAAGCTTTTGACAAAGTCTGACAACACAAAATGCTAGAAATATTGGAAAGAGCTGGATTGGACGATAAAGATCTAAATATTTAAGGAAGCCTTAATGGAGACAACCGAAGGTATTATTGTGAATGGAGTAACCGTCAACAATATTAGATATGCCGACGATATCTTAGTCCTTGCCAATTGCGGAGAAGACCTTCAAAATCTAATGAACAAAATAAAACAGACTTGTGATCAGTATGGATTAAAACTCAACGTTAAGAAAACTAAATATATGATAGTTAGCAAACAAAATTATATACAGGATGACGGTATAAAAGTCGGAGATGCTACACTAGACAGAGTAGAGAAACTCGTGTATCTCGGCAGTAATATCAATGAGAGCTGGGATCCAACCGCAGAAATTAAAAGCCAAATAGAACAAGCCCGAGCTGCCTTTGTAAAAATGAGAAACGTACTTTGCAGTCACGATCTTAGCATTGAACTTAGAGTTCGTATGGCATCTTGCTACATCTTTCCTGTCCTGCTGTATGGAGTGGAAGCGTGGACTCTAACTGAGGCTATGCTTAAACGCTTAACAGCCTTTGAGATGTGAGTATACAGACGACTACTGAAAATAAGCTGGGTCGACAGAGTTAGAAATGAGGAGGTCCTTAGACGGCTGAGCCAAACAACACAACTGGTCAATATAACAAAGAAACGCAAGCTGGAATACTTCGGTCGCATTATAAGACACCCTGAAAAATATGATCTTTTAGATCTGAGCATTAAAGGAAAGATCCAAGGTAATCGTGGTCCTGGTAGACGAAGAACATCATGGCTGAAAAATGTAAGACAATGGTATGGAAAATCAACTACATCGTTATTTAGAGCTGCTGTCAATAAAGTCATGATAGCGAATATGGTAGCCAACATGATATCCAACGATCGATAACGGTAATGGAACTAGAAGAAGAAGAAGAATGTCTTAAAAAATCTATGGCACTTTTAAGTTTATGTTATGTGTATTTTTATTTCGTTCAAATAAAAAAAATTTCTCTTCTAGGCAACTTACATTTTTTGTTCACCTGATCTACTTAAATCATCCTTACATATTAAAAAACAGTTTTGAACAAGAAATAATAAAAAAATTATTGTTATGTCTACGAGTCATATTATGTGGCTCATAACGCACAATAACGCCATAGGATACAGCTACTATGTGGTTCGTATCGTATACCCAGAGAATATTAAAAATGTGTTGCCGCAGTACACGTGTTAAAAACATTTACCAATTTCTCTTTAAATTCTGTAGTACCTCTGTTATAATTTTTAAGGAAAATCCATTTCAAAATTAGTATACTCGTACCTAATCTAAAAAAAATCATCTTACCCACTTTACCAAAACTTACACTCTTGTTAAGCCGATAACTAAAGTTACAACTATGTAAATGGCATTCATTTAGTTCGTTTCAAACCGAAAACAAATAATTATGTACATATTTTTAAATTGATCTAATGAAGTCAAGAAAATAACGAATGGTATCGTTGTAGTTGGCTATTGTTTAAAGGTAATTTTGTATATTTTGAACTAATTTATAAAAAATAAGTAAACATTTTTTTAACATGCAAGGAACGTTACGTAAATGTATAGGAAATGTTCAAATTTTTATCAAATTATAAGCAGATTGTTAGAGGATGATACCAACATGATATACTTCTTCATTCTTTTATAACATTATGAGATGATATCTTCAATTCTTTTTAGTTAATTGATATTATTAGTTCATCTTTTCTGGTGATGTACTCCTTCCATTCTTTTTTTCCCGTTCAATATTAATTTATTGATATCTTTGACTTTGCATGTTTTTCTGATGTAGGGGAGAGTCACCCAAGTTGGGACAGTTTTTTTTATAACAAATACTTGAAAATCTATAGATATTAAAAAAAAGTTGAGGTAATAAAATGAAACTTTATTCTAATTATTAACACATTTTAGATATAAACTAAATAAAAAATATGCTTCGTTTTTTGTTATTAAAAAAAAGTGTGAATGTCTCATCATGAGAAACCGGAATCCTAAGATGGTCCGTTGGGTTTCTCAAAAAGGGACATTACTCTATACAACTTCCACAAATAAAATAGAGATCATCCATTACTCCACAAGACTCATGAGCCCAATTTGAACATATTTTGCAGTTGTACCAGTCTTCACTACTCTCTGCGTACTTCTTTCCACATACAATGCAGTTTGAATCATCTTTAGTTGAAGTGACGACTGTGATATTGCTAATATTTGCATTTCGAGCGCTGTGGTCCATAACTACAGTTCGTTTCACAGATTTAACCTTGTTAGTAGGGATTGTGGATTGCAACGTCTCTAATTCATTTTTATACGGCGATTCTGTGAGTATCGTGGATTTCAGAGAATGTCTAGAAGAAGTCTTACCTTCTTATTTTCTGTGCCTTTGGTAGCGGACTAATATCAGTCACTTTTACCTTGGATGTCGGAAATTGGATAGGAATGATTTGGCTTCTCTGTATCGGTCTGTTATCTTCAACCTCAAAACAGACTGTTTTGAGGTTGAAGGAATCGGATTATCATACATTTCAACTTGATTTACGCCTTCGGTATGAGCCATCATTACGGGTAATTTATTGACCTGTGATGTAGTTTCATTGTCCACTGATTGTTCCGTCGTTTTAGAGGGAGCGAATTCGCAGTCTTGAAATACGTCTTCGTTAAAATGCAAAATTCCGGTTACTCGGAATCCATTTGTCGCTATCTGTACAGAAGATGCCTTTGAGAATGCTTCTGCAACAGCCCCTGAGATTTGATATATTCCAAATGTACGACCACAATGATTTTTTAGCCATCTAGTAAGGTACAAATCATAATAACTCATAAATGATTTAAAATACGAAACATCTAGGGGTTGCATTTTATGCGTACAGTGTGGTGGCAGGCATAATAAAATAATACCATTCTCGCGACAGAAGTTTATAACGTCTAAACTTTTTGTATGTGAACAATGGCCGTCCAAAATAATAAGAATTTTGCACTCCTTCGAAGGTCTGGTTTGTTGTGCAAAATATTTTATGAATTTTAAAAAAACATCACGATCCATCCATCCTTTGTCCTGTGGAAATGCCGGACTACCGTTAGGTGCATTGTTCATCAGCTCTGGTTTTATTTTCTTTCTGGGAAATATAAAAGCAGGCGCAAGAAAATTGCCACTTGCACTCATAGCAGCTACTATAGTGACATTAACTCCTCTTTCGGCACTTGTTAAACCTCCCACTTGTTTTTTACCCCTCTGAGCAAGAACTTTAGATAATTTTTGGACGGTGGTCACTCCGGTCTCATCAATATTCCAGATTCTATCTGGAGTGAGGTGATGTTTATTATAAATACTTTCCAGGTTGCTGAAAAAACTTTGGACTGCATTCTTGTTGAATCCTGTAGCTCTAGCGTATGAGGTTGCTTCTGGTTTTCTCAGAGAAATATTTCTATGTCGACTCAAAAACTCATAAACCCACTTTTTAGAGGCCATTCGAGTATCTTTATTAAAATTGTTAGCAATATTATTGGCTTGGGCAAAGTCAAATGCCAGACAACGAAGTTCTTTATAAGTAATTCCAAAAAATCGCTTTTCCATTTCAAGAATATGATCTAAAATTTCGTGTTCCTGTTCAACTGAGAATTTTTGCCTAAACCGACCAAGATATTTGTCATTTTCGGTCACGATTTTATTTTTGTTTGTAACTCGTCTTTGAAGAGTACTTTTAGGAATATTATATCTGTCAGCAGCTTCTCGAAGCGATAGTTCGTTATTCCGAACTTTTTGTACAGCTAAAATCATATTTTGAACGGACCAGTTTCCACGATCAGTTTTTCTTTTGTAATAGGAATTTGGATTTCTATTTGGCATCTGTAAAAGAAAAATATATCAGTGCCACTTACGAGATATAGAGTTCACTGAAAAAACATTTTTTAATGACACATTATCTTTACTTAGCTATAATCAAGGTTAGAATATTATGACCTCCTTGGGTATAATCTAATTACTGAACCCCTACTTATAAATGTTTTTAGAATGAATTATCGTTATATGTAAGAATTTATGAGTAATTAATGATTTAATTAGTTAAAAGTAGGCAGGTATAAGATGAATATCTGTAGCCATATTTTAGTTCCTAAGATGGGACGTCCCGACTTAGGAAGTTTAACTTTGTCCCATCTTAAGAGATTTGCACCCATTTTGTAAAAATCTTAACCGATATTAAACAAAAGCTTTAGTGGCAAATACTTTTCAGTGAAATGCAATGACTATAAACTCTGTTATTGACTAATAACGTTAAGTTTCACAGATACTTACCATTAACGCTATATTCACTATAATGTTGTACGTAAATAAATTTAAAAAAATATGTAAACATTAACAACTTGTTCTGACGAACGCTACCTGTATGCTGTATGCTAGCCTCGTGTCGTTTACGTGACAATACGACTGAATGGCGAGCTTTCATTCTTTCAGTGCAGGTGTTGCCACTTGTTACAGATTTTCTAGAATTGCTAGTGTCCCTACTTGGGAACCTTCCCGTCTTAGGTAACTCTCCCCTATTTACGCCATACTCTATGAAATTATTTTGCATAGTATCCTCATTTGTGCTGCCTCCACTATTATTTAGTTCAGTAATAGTTTAGGGCCCATTTCCGCTGTTTAATTTATATATCTCTCAGATTTTTGTCTCGTGGGAATTTTCTTTGAAATACTTGGTTTACTTCGACACAGAAAATGTCTTAAAATTATTAATTACAAACAGTTCTCAACAAAAATAGATGGAAAAAAGCTAACCTAACCTTTTTTTTAATGAGGTGGAAAGGTTCGAAACCGACTAGGTAAGGTGTCCCTAGTACTGTTGGTTCAACCAGAAGGCAGGACCACACGAAATGGCACAGAGTTCACACGGAATCCGGCCTCTATTGTGCACCCTGTAGGTCGCCTACCGACTAAAACCACCCCTTGTTCGACTCTGATTATCCCCGGACGAGTTTATTAGAGAACGAAACATGGGACATCCCGCGTAGTCTGGAAGGTCTTAGAGCTTGTCCTACGATGCATACCTAATAACGGCCAGCGCGGCTTTTGATGGCCAAATTTCCCCTGATTATGCATAGATTAAGTGTACGGCCCTCAGTCCCCGGTGGTTTCAATTTTCCTGACCAAGGCAATGGTTAAAACAGAGTTGGAGTAGAGGGTGCTAAGAATCACCAGAAGAGATCAGGCTACTATAACAAACGACAAATGTATATATGTACCTTTAACGTACAAACTCTATCAACAGATCCGACCTATGACTATAATAATCCTTGAGACTGTGCCAAAGCACGTTTTTTATGTCTTGAACTAATAATTGCATTTCTAATTCGTTGTTGCTGCACGTGTGGTGACTATTCTGGTGTTTTTTTGTTCTACAGGTTATCTAATCCACATTTTTATTCCTTATGCTGTTATTCTCATAATTGTTTTGTTTTTAATTTATTTACTTCTTTTCTTTGATTTTCAATCATCCTCCGTATCTGTTTCTGATATTTACTCCTGTCATTCACTCCTGTCATTTACCGGCGCTTTGAATGTCTCTCGGTAATATTTAAGGTCGATTCAGACACATCAGTCACGTCTCGTCACAGTCCTGGCGCCGAACCCAACAATCCGTCATACAAAATATTCTTTAATAGAAATATGGTTTTCATCCAGTTTCCCATCTGTCAGATAATTAATAGTTCTGTATAGAGTTAGAATCTATGGAGAGGGCATCACGTGACTAAAAACGACCTCATTTCGGCCCATCGAGTTAAAATCTATGAAGAGGGCATCACGTGCATAAAAACGACCTCACTTCGACCATATTGTTAAGAATATTTTTGACACTTTTGACAGATCGTATGTTTGTTTAAATTTGTTGATTTTCAAATATTTTTAGTGATATAATACTTTTATAGAAACTGTAAATATATTGTGATAGTGCATAATAATGGTTTCTTGTTCTCAACGTAGTTGCAGTAGCAGAAGCAATGTTAATAAAAAATCTTCAGGAATATCGTTGCACAGGTTAGTATACAAATATGTAAACAAAGTAATGGCCGTACTTCAGAGAATAAATTAGTATTTGACTGTATTAATTTATCTTTATGTATAATAAATTGTGTTGTTAGTGTTTACCGCGGGATAAATAAATCATAGTTTATTCAAAATGTATTGCACTTTTTTAGATTATGATTAAATCTTCTGAATAACTAGTCATATTTGTATAGTAGTTTTAATATTATTGAGTCTGGCCCTGATTTCGCCCCCATATTGGTATTATCGTTAGCCACGCCTACCGACGACGTTTTTAATACATCATACGTTAATATGCTCATAGCTTCTCCATAAATTCTAACCCGATGTAGTTCTGTGACCAAACAGGACCGATTCGGACTGATGTGTCTGAATCGACCTTTAGAATACTAGATAAAAATAAAATCGT